TTTGAAATCAGGGAATGTAGTTTGCAACAGTTGTCGGTGTTCTGACACTTTGCAGTCAAGGAAATGTATAGACTCTTCAGTGTGCTTTGTTGCCACAGACAACTCAACAATATCTTTAAGAAGCATCAGTACATTCCAGGCATTGTCCCCTTCAGGAACTTTATGGCCAATGAGAAGTGGGAGCAACCTGATCAGAGCCCAGTTCTCATGGCCATTTCCACCTATGGTACCTTTAGTAGAGAATCCACGGGCAATAGGCTGAGGCTGGTCAGTTTTGTCATGAAAAGCATATGCAAAAGTTTTGATAGCATGGTTCAATGTTTCCAATGTAAAATATTTCTTAGAAATCAGGTCTGAAATGCAGAGTGATAACTCAACAGGAACGACGCCTTCAAAAAGGTCGTGTAGGATGTCAGGAGGATAGCCACGCACAACATGAAAGTGCTCCAGACTGTCAGTCAGTACACATCGTCCTTTCACACCATACTGTTTAGCCAAAGTGGGATCGTGCTCTACCTCCTGCACCTGTTGGTTGTGAGTATCTGCAGTACGGGGTTCAAAAGTGCCTGAGTTTACCTCAGTGTTTTGGATTTCACTCCTCGTTGCCATGCAGAACCTGCAGAACTTGTCCACTCCAAAGCTCTCAAAGAATCCTGCAAATGAATGAGCAGCCAAGTTATCAGCAGCCACATACAACACTGTGCCTTTGACACATGCTCCCAACTTCTCAACATACAGGCCATCTTGCTCCAAAGAAACCAGATCTAGGATTAGTGGTTGAAGAATTTTAGCATAGCCATATTCTTTTACATCAGAGGCTTTACATAAAAGAGCAAGCTGAATGGACTGGAGTGTGGACCTATATTTTGATGGCATGTTGGCGATCACCCAATACACTGCACACATTTTGTGTTTCTTCCTAGATGTCCCTAATGGATTGGACACTTCAAAATCATCTGTGTAAAGCCCAACAGCGATTCTGAATTCCTCACCTTTAAGGAGGTCATTTTCTTTACAGTACAAACCATCTCGGAATGTACTGTACTCATGTGGCACATGCTTTTGCAC